ACATCATCGTCCTCGTCACAACCTCAGCGGTTAAATGTACACCCCGGTCCGAGTGATCCCTCCCTTCTATATCTTCAGTACCGCCACTGGTTGAGTGCGGTATATCAAGATTTACAGGGATGTCGTAACGGCACCATTAGAAACCGCCGTAACGGCACTGAATTTTGGAAGGTGTTGGACAAACAGCATCCCACAGTTTGGGAGGTGATCGAAAACACTGGTTTTGGGCCGATGTTTCGAATGGGCAGAGTCCAGACTGACAATAGCCTCATTACCTGTCTGGTGGAAAGGTGGCGACCGGAGACGCATACCTTCCATTTTGATTTCGGGGATGCCACGATCACGCTCCAGGACGTATAAGTCCTATTTGGTCTCCCGGTAGATGGAACTCCTTGCTAGGGAAAGACTGTAGATTTTACAAACCAACAGTGGCAAGATGAGTGTTTGCACCTTCTAGGGTTTGACACCCAAGTAAAATAGTCATAAGTATATGATTGAGTTAACAATTCTTTTTTTTTTTAATTAAAAAGTACGTAATGAAATCTAATTTTTCTTTTTAATTTGTATTTTATTAGGGTTGTCGAGAAATGATATGAATAAATAAAATAATTTTTTTTTTATTTTTTTTTTTGGTATCAAAATACATGTCAATATGATACATTTTGACTGAACACATTAAAATAATAACATTTTCATGCCCAAGTGAAAGGACAATTGGAATATGGCTAATTAATAATACCACTCGTGATTGCAGAGTCAAAAGGAACAAGATTAATTTGAAGTTTGAAATTAGTGCAGTGGAAGTGATGGATGCATGCATGCTGGACTCATTAAATTAATTAATTAATATTATGTATAAGAGCATCTCCAATGTAGCTTTTGACATTATAAAAATTCATCCATATCATCAACTTTTAAAAGTGTGTTACTAATTAGTTCTCCAATACATCTTGTCATGAGCTCTTTCATGATGAGGTGGATAGCATTTAATGTTGACAATGTTGAACACACTTTCTAATACCTAACACCATGTTAAACATGATGACTAATCAATTCACTTTATATTTGATTTAATTTTTTATTGTTCTTGTATTAATGATTATTTTAATTGGTCCACCTATACCAATAACTTCTTACCAAATTGATGCATTGGAGATACTAGTTTGATTCAAATTTCTACTCTTTTAACATTATTCCTACATGGATTAACATTACAATCATTGATTGACATGTGTTAAAAATCATTGTCTTTCAAAGCTATAGCATTGGAGATGCTCTAAGCTTGTAGTCTTCTGTTGTGCCCCAATAATAATAATAATAGTAATTAGCAAGTCTACACACTGTAATTAGGAAGATGGGGCCCCCGTAAAAGCTGTGCGGTCAATTTGATCAATTCACCGACTTTAATTCCCCCAATTGAACCTGTAAAAGTTGTAGTTATTATCTAAAGTTAGGTCGCATCTGTAAATAAAAGTAAACAAAAAATAATGAAAACATTAAAAACAAATAAATAAAAGGTAACAACGGGTAACGAAGGAGGGATATAAGGAATTAAAGGGGGCGGCATTGATTTATGGATTTTGTCTGATACGGGGAAGGCCCAATCTGGTTAGCCTTTATTTGACACAAATTTTGTCAAAAACAAACCGCTGGCCGAGGGAATTTATTCTATAACTTTTTTTAATAAAAATACATATATATATTATAAAATATAAATATTTTTTATATAATTATTAAAGTGCGAAATTTCAGTTTGGAGTATATATATTTTTTAAAAAATATGATTGTATAACTTTTAAATCTAGTACTACTTATTTATTAATTTATTTATTTATTCCTCGAAGCAATAAATTGTGAATTTTTTTCTTTTTTTTTTAAAAAAAATGACTCAATTTCAATGTTAGTTGAACTTCCCAAGGAGGGATCATGAACCGAAAGTAGGAATAAGAGAATAAGATCATCTCCAACTCTCTGCTCTATTCTATTGTAGAGTAAAACTCTACTCTAGAATAGAGTAAGCCAAAATTCAAATTTCATCTTCACTTATTCGCGTTATATTTTATTCTACATCAATATATTATTTTATATTTATTTTTATTTCAAATAAATTGGTATAATATGTATATTTAATCTTATATAAATATAGATCAAGGCACATATATTTAATAATATGTATATTTCAAATAAATATTTTTATTCTACATTTTATACTCTCGATAAGGCACTTTAATGCTCGATTTTTTTTATATATAAAACTTTTTAGTTTGGCTCGTTAAAATTCGAGATTGGCTTGAACTCGGCTCGTTATTAGTGATAAACGAGCAGAGCTTGAGCTCGATTTCAGACTCGTTTAGGGGCTCGAGCAAGACTCAACTTGTTTACAGGCCTAGTTACCGAACATTTGATTTGCATGTTTTCTGTCCAAGGGTGAAAAAAAATTATGGCTATTTTAAGAATCAGTTCAATTTATGTGTAAATGAGTAAGTAATGGACTAATCAGCGGATGGGTTTCTGTTTGCCCATTTGGACCAACAATTCATTTACTTCATAACCAAATGGGCTGGACTAGCAAAGTGTTTTTGGGAAATATTGGTTTCACATCCGAATATAGGCCCATTTGAGCCTGCTAGTCCACAGGGGCAGAGCTATAAAAATAGTTTATTAACAATACATTTACATCAATAATAAAAAATAAATCGACATCTGGACTCTTCACACCGTTTACTACTGTACAAAAAAAATTTGGGCAGAAGGGCCCCAATCAATCATCCTCTCCACCACCATTTTTCCTTCATTCCCTTTCTCCACGCTCTTCCTCCGCTCTTTTTTTTTTGCCGGTGAGTAGTACACTCCTTTCTCATACACTGCGTTTTTCCAATTAGCTCCAATTTTTTTTATGCTAATTTTTTGAAATCTATTAAATTTACTTCACCAGTTTGTTGTTATTGTGTTTCTTCCGATCTGAATACGCTTGTCGTCTGTATCGGCTTTTTTTTTATTGCCTTGACTTATCTATTTTGTGGTTTTTGTTTGAAAGTTTTCTTGTATTCTATTTTCTTCAATTGGTGATGCAGTGGAAACAATGAGCTCCAGTGACTTGAATTTCGTGCAATTTTTTTCCTTGAAATGGCAGTACTATTGAAACGATCATTGTTAGATAGGGCTATTATTTGTTGAGTTATTCTTAATTGAACGTTAACATGGAGAAATCTTGGAAGCTTGTTGATTTTCGGCTTGTGTTGCTTATTTATTCAAGCACCTCCATGTTTTTTTTTTCCTTTTTNGTTATTTTATCTAATTTCTGATGTTCATAGTCAATATGATCTCTTGACCTGCTCTATGTTTGTGTAAGACAAAAGTCTAGTGTTTCTTTGAGCGGAACAGAAATCTCAGCGTTGAAAATTACTTGTTATACTAATTTGTGGAATTAGAGCGAGTGGTTCTCTGCCAGCTGCCCTTTCACAATATAAACCTGATTCATTAAAAGTTCGTGTTTGGCTTTTACTAAGAATTGATGAAACTGAGTGCTTGCACTTGTGGAGCCTGTATCACTGAAGTTAGTAGGCATATCACCTGCGACTCTCATAAATAAAAGAGCAAACATATGGATATGGAATTAGTTGTTCTTTTTGGGATGTGACTGACCTGCTGACCGCTAGTTGTACTAGGCTTTGTAACAGTCTATGTCCTAACCTATATTTCTAAAGCTTGTTGTTTCCAGTGGGGTTTTCACATTTAAGTGATGGTAAAAAATAAGTGAAAGCATCATGAGTATTACAGTGTAATGGATTCTTTAAATTGATTTCTGATATTTGTATGGCAATTGGATTTTTTGGGTGTCAAAGTCTCAACAAAATGTTTTGTGCTAGTAACCTTTTTAAACAGGTATATACAGTTGTAAATTTAGTTGTTTATTTATGATTTGTTCAACAATGATACTTTATGGAATTTACTGCAATCAAGATTCACATACTTGTGTTGAAATCGATAAGACTGAAGTATTATTTTTCATGGCGTTCATCGTATGTTCCTGTTGTTTGTGGAGAAGCATAACAATTCATAGGTATATGGATATTTACATAAGTGCTTGCCTTTTATCAAAATTCATGCGAGTGTTTCAAAAAAATACTTTCCTTAAGGTCTTTCTTTAAGGAATGAATATTCTTGAGATGTTGAGACGAAAGAGCTCTTCTTCTATCAAAATGTCCATTAGTTGAAACAATTCCAATGATTCCTCAGAGCCAAGAAAATGTAAACATATTATCCAGATGCTGAAAATTGTAATCAGAATATTGTAGTTCTAGCACCCTTTGGAAGGCAAATTATTTAATGTTGATGGAGTAGCATATGTTTGTCATTCAACTGGAGCTAGGAGAATGTTCGTTCTGACAGGCCATTACAGTTTGTTCGATTTGCTCTGTGAAATGATGGCCATTTTACATGAATTAGTTATTGTTAGAATGTCAGACAACTTGTCTCATTGTTTTATTCACGATTGCGTAAGCCGATTACTTCTCTTTAGCTACAGTAGCTTAGCTTATGTTGTGCAAATGATGTGTGCTGCTCTGGAAGTCAGATTGGACCATAATGACCTCCAATTTTTCCTTTAATTGAAGTGGCACGAGAAAGAAATATTTATCATTGTTAGTTTTTCATTCTAATCTAACTATGATATGAAGTATCTTGTGCCACTTCCGAAGAAGCTCAGTCTACTGTTAAGAAAATAAGGTTCCTTGCTTATTGAGTCAGATGGGCCCTAATATTTTATGTTAAAGGTACAGTTCTGTGGTGCTTGGTTGCACTAGATTTAATTCTTCCCATTTCATGACTTTGTTTTCTACCCTTTTTGGTGCTTGTGCATCTATACATATTGTTCTTCTCATATGCTAGCAAATGAGTGTAACTTAGATATCCAAGTTCTTCACGTGACGCGAGTTGATCCTATAACTCTTACTTGTTATTGTCAGTCAAATCTCGTGAAAGTCGACCATTCATAAAAAATGGAGCTGAACTCTATCAAAGACGCCTTCGACCGCGTGAACAAGAAACAGAAGCTCTCGTCCTCTAAATCTCAGGAAATGATCGAGCAAGTCGAGGCAGAAATCGAACGTGCCCTACTAAAAATCCAATCAGCGAACGACCACAATCCCATCCTCACCGACCTAAAATCCAAACTAACAGACATGTCCCCTCTAAAGCAGCTCGAAGCCACCCAAAAAGAACTCAACATCGCCCTCAACAAGTACCCAAAACTCCTCGAAAAATCATTCATTCCCGACATCTCGAAAGCGTATCGCAACATCGATTTCGACACCAACATCGTCAATCAGATAATCGCGACCCACTTTTACCGTGAAGGTAAATTCGACCTCGGCGACTGTTTCGTTCACGAATCCCGCGTGCCAGAGGACTCGGCCCTCAAATCCCCATTTCTCGAAATGTTCGGAATATTAGAAGCCATGAAATCCAGAAACCTCCAGCCAGCTCTGAATTGGGCCTCGGCGCACCAAGAGCAGCTGAAGAAAAACGGGTCCGACATAGAACTGAAGCTCCACCGACTCCAATTTATCGAGACCCTGCAAAAAAAAGGCAGGGACGAAGCCCTTAATTACGCACGGGCTTTCTTGGCCCGATTTGCCACTACCCACATGTCAGAAATCCAAAAGCTCATGGCTTGCCTATTGTGGGCCGGGAGGCTCGACCAATCTCCATACCCGGAGCTATTATCCTCCGTGCAGTGGGACAAGGTTAAGGATGAGCTGGCACGAGAGTTTTGTAATTTGATTGGTCAATCTTACGAAAGCCCGCTTGGCGTGACTGTAGCTGCAGGGGTTCAGGGCCTGCCGACTCTTCTGAAGCTGATGAATGTGATGACTGGGAAAAAGCAAGAATGGCAGACGATGAAGCAGTTGCCTGTGCCTGTGGATTTGGGTCGGGAGTTTCAGTTTCATTCGGTGTTTGTTTGTCCGGTGAGTAGGGATCAGGCGAGTGAGGATAATCCTCCCATGCTTTTGTCTTGTGGGCATGTGTTGTGTAAGCAGTCTATCACGAAGCTGTCGAAGAACAATAGCACGAGGCCGTTTAAGTGCCCTTACTGTCCTACTGAAGTCGAGGCTGGCCAGTGCAGGCAGTTGTATTTCTGAAAATTGTTTTTTTTTACCATTTTTTTATTTCTCGTGTTTTTTCTTTTTTTGTTTATGGATGTGAAAATTTGGTTGTGTTTGTTGTTGGTGGGTTGTACGTCGATGGTGTTTGTAGATATTATGTCTTGTGTCTGCATTTGTTTAATGTTTTTGAGAATCTGTAGCTTCGTTCATGATGTTGTTTGTTTGCATTTGTGCCGTGTTTATTTGGACCGTCGGGCAAAACCATTGTAACTTTTCTGGTTTGCAGCACCTTTAAACCCTCTTTATATTTCATCTCTTTGTTTTGGGTTGTTATACAGGTGATTTACAGTGCTTTGCTTGTGTTTTTTGCATGGATTCAAACACAACTTGTTCTTGGGATCGCAAGTGCTAATGAGGTAATACTTTAAATTTTGTCATGTTGTGGAAAGACTTTGGAGATGAAAAAGTGAAAGGTTTTTGTTAAAAATAAAGATCTTTTGTTTGCATACCAGGATTTGCATTGGCTTTTGGTTCTACCATAAAAATTCTCTTTTGTTACTTTTCTATTACTTTTTTGCAAATAATAGCCTCTTTTAACATCCCGATCCTCTGGTTTTTTATGATGATCAAGATGATCTTAACTGTAAAAAACAAAATATGTTATTACGTATCTTAAAGATGATGCAGACACTCCCTTGAGATTCTGAAAACTCTATCGAAAGATGAAAGTTGTGCCCCACAAAGTGGTATGTCCATCGAGTGGGACTCAATTTATCAAATAGCCATTTGGATTTCATTTCTAAGAAAACAAAAGAAAAAGATGCTATTGATAAGTTGCAGTCCACAACTTTTAGGCGCGGATTTTCAGGATTTGCTAATGAGCCCTGTGTTTCTTTCTTATTTCCTTTTCTGAAGAAAACTCGCTTCATCTTTTTGGATCCATTCAAGTGTTTGGATAACAGATGAAAAAAAAAAGGTTCACCAAATCCTTTTCGCTATTTCTTACAATCGTGTGGGTAAAAGTCGCTATAGTTTTGATTTTTACGTGCACTATAAATAACTACATTCTTTATTTTGTGAGGAGAAATAATTATTTCTTGGGATTTTCGAAAAGTAGGGAACTGAGGGACGCGTATTTGTGTGGAATTCATGATTTCGTGGGCCTCCTCCAATCAAACCACGAGAAAATATAATTTTTAATACAATATGGCTAGGCCACTAATAGGAAGAATTATTTTATGTAGCATGGCCTAGATGATCATGTTATTTCAATGTAGCCAACTAATTTGAAAATGACTTGATTATGCTCTGTTAAATTTTCTGTGAGTTATGTCAAAATTTATATATTTTTCCTACTTAAAACGTGTAGCATTGCACTTCAACATCATCTCCTGCAATTACTAATTTAATTTCTATTAAATATACATTTAGAATTAGGAATAGGCAGAATTGGACTGGACCTGCTTTTTGCATATCTCTCGTTGTTTTTGTTTTTGAAACTCTATTCAACCTTTTTTTTTAGCTTCTGTTAAATCGAGAAAGAAAATATGCTTGATTTTCATCTTTTTGATACATTTAATTATATCTTTTTATAAGCTTTTCATTTTATAAAGTCGTTTGAATTCAAATCTATCATTATATAAAAAGAATAACCTTTTTACAAATTTAGAAACTTTTTCCCGCCAAAATCATTAAATATATCCTAATATAGTAATTGTTGGACAAATCTAAATAAACAAAAAAATCGGCTCATTTTTTTTAGTTTATCAAAACCATTGTTTGACAATAAATATTTATTTTTTTTTTCTATTTTTAGTATAAATCTACACGCTTATATCTTCTGTTACAAAATCCCATTGCATACGTCTCCCGTGTTTAAAAAATTTCATCTCTTATCTATACAGATTTAAAAAAAAATAAAATAAAATAGAAACCAATTCATAATTACTACTAGAAATCCATTATCTTTAAAAAGAAAAAATAAAATAAAATAGAAACTAATTCATAATTACTACTGAAAATCCATTATCTACTTTAAAAAGCTAATTTTTATCGGTCTAATTACAAATATTTTTACAAATATTATAAGCTAACCATACAAAAAAGTATAATAATAATTTTGAAATGGTGTGTAATCAAATTTTTTTATATTATCTTATACAAAATAATTTTACATTGTTTGACCCCGAATCTTTAATTTATAATTATTAAGTATTGTTTATCTTCCTCTTTAATTTATAATTATTTTTTTGTTTCCTCTTTAAATAGGATCAATAGTAATTTCCACTTCGATCATTGAGTGACTCAAACTCGAGGTCTATTTATAATATTGTTAATTTAATATTGTTCCCGTGCATCGCACGGGGTATACACTAGTGTTTATTTAAAAACAGCACTACTAAGTTTATTTAAAAGAGCATTCACGTTTTACATTAGACCACCGTAGTTTATTAATCAGATTAGTAACACTCATTTAATAAGTCTTTTAAATACATTAGTTTAATGTTTTTGTGTGTTGTTTGTTTTTCATTCCATAACGATAACATTCAGTATCATTATATCAGTATGAAACCATAGATATTTCCCTCACCCATCTATCATATAAATATAATGTTGCAACCAATATTTGACCAATATAAAAAAAAAATAAAAAAAAATAAATAAATCTCACTCATTTTATACAGCGTTGCATATCAATACTTTATTTTTCAACAATAATAATTTTTCTCACTCATATAGTACATTGCACATTAATACTATCGGAAGATGAAACTCTTTTAATTATTTCTTATTGGGACTGATAATAATATGTTGATTTTATTAGGATTTATTACTATATTTATTTGTATTTATAAAATAGACATAATTATGTCTTTCATAATTTTTGTATGCAATATAAATGTCAAATCAAAGATCATTAAAACATAATTAATTTTGTATTATTGTATATATCGCAGTGTTGCAATGTTTTGTAACATTTTATAATTTTTTTATAATACTTAAGTTACCTAATTGTTTTACATTTTAAAAGTCTCAAACTGCATATGATCTTAACATGACTCTTAACTTACATAGATATCTATTCCAATATATACATTATTAACACAACATATTACGATGAAAATCAGGTTTTGTCAAACTCTGAATTAAGATGTAGAAGGAGATTTGAGGTTGAGAAAATTGATGAGATCTTGCGCATGAACAAGACTTGGCTGTTACAAGTTAATGTCATATGGTCCAAACTCGATCGAACCACAAATTCTTTTGCAATTTATGATTTGAAATTATGCCCACAGCCGACAGAGGTTTCAAATTGCCAACTCGATTAGTGTGGTAGCACATTGTTTTATTATTCATCAATATTGAAACTTGTAACATTGCAATTTCTTAATCAAGACACTATGTTTTTTTGACTTATGCTATAGAAAAAGGTATCGTTGGTTAGGGCTGCAAACGACCCGAGCCGAGTCGAGCATTGGCCTTATCGAGCAGGATTGATTTTTTTTTTTAGCTGCTCGAGCTCGAGCTCGTCGAGCTCGACTCGATAAGAAAATACAATAGCTCGAGCTCGGCTCGAATTCAAAATGCTCGAGCTCGGCTCGAGTTCGGTTCGAAAATGTTCAAACAATTTTGTCAAATTATATATAGAAGGGGTATTTTAGTAATTTACCATATATCTCGAGCCGCTCGCGAGCCGCTCGACAATGTAAAATATGGACTCGAGCTCGACTCGAGTTCGTGCTCGAGCCGCTCGAGCTCGACTCGAGTTCGGTCAAACTCG